CCTCCAGTTCGGCCCCAGTGGCTTTGTCAGCCTCGCCGGCCCTCGGTTCCAGGTCCTGAAAGTCCGAAAACAAACTCTCGATCGCAGGATCCGACGTGTCAATCCCTAGTCCCGGCGTCTTCCGCTCCGCTGCGGCCAAATCCTCCGGAATATGTCCCACCGCTGATTCACCGAGCGAGCTCGCAATTGCCAAATCTTTATCGGTTCCACCAAGCTGTTCAAAGACGCTACCAGCCGTGACCATGGCACGACCCTGCGCTTGCAACTCTGGATCGTCAGACTTCAAAAGCTGCTGTCTCCTGTACTCGTCCAAAAGCTCCTGGACCTTTCCCGACTTCTTCTTCTCGCCTCTTCGGAAGGCACGAATCGCACGTCCAATCTTCGTGCTCGCGTCAACCTTCGCAAGGAACAGGTTCTGCCCATACCGAACCTGAAACTCAGAAGCGAGTCTCCTGATGATATCGTCCGAGTGCATACGAACAAAGGCTTCCCGAAGGATCTGGTTCATGGAGTCGACGTCACACGCGTGCGTCCAGAACGAATCGTGGACCGCAGAAAAGGTCAAGCCGGCTTGGTTGCAGGCGTTTGCAGACAGGATCATGTGAGTGGCATCAAGAGAGTGGATGAAATTTGGCGGGAAAGCCTGTAATTGTTTGCGCTTCGAAACGACGTCTTCCGAATTAGTATCGACGATACTGAGATCCTGAAGAGTTGTGGTGATACGCCGAGCCTTTCGCACGCGGTATGGCTGGACCACAGGCAGTCCAAGAGGCGTGGTCCAGATAACTGTAGACCTAAATCTCTCAGACGGATCCTTGAGCTTCACTGCAGATCCACCTGAAGAAGAAGGCGTCAAAGCCTCCTTCGCGATTTGCTCAATCTGCTCGGGGGACAGTGACGTTGTGATACGACTCGCGCAGTCTCCAAGCCAGTGCTGGATTTCATGCGCCCCGTTGAACATCGTACCCAAAGCTTCGAAGATTTTCCGGGCAATGTACAAAGATCCATTCTTTTTATCGTCGTAGGACAGGTCGGGGTAATGGTCGATAAGCTGCTTGCGGACCTGTCTCATGGCTCCCATGAACGTGACACCGTACACATTGGTCATGACAGTCTGCTTTACAATCTTTCTTGTAATTCTTCCGTCGAGGATCTTAGCGATAGGGTGACCCTGGGCCGCCTCCCGCGCAACTTCTTGTTTAACGAACTCGGCAACACCGGTGTAGACGTCGGACGGGCGATCGGATGGTTCAAGATTAACTTGCTGGGCACCGACGCTATCACCTCCAAGTGCCGCGTAATGCTGCAATCCATTGCACGAACCATCCTGGTGGATAGGCAAGCGGGACGGGTACTGGGTCGGATCCGGATGGCGAAGGGCGTTTCTTAATTCACAACAGGCAGCTAGACATTGCCAGGGATCTTCCGCCTTGAGCCACCAGCGTCTGCCGTGAAGACCCTTGTCCGCCGAGTCAAGCACATCGTCCAAGTGATCCATGGTGAATTGTTCACGCTCAGACATGCTAGCCTTGTCAAAGCCCGAAAGATTCGCGATCTGAATCTTCAACCATCTCAAACCACTGGCTCCCAATGGCTTCGCCTCGCTAAACAGCAGAAGACCTCTGGAGTTGTCTGCACCCATTTGATTAAGATACGGGGGAAGTGGGTAAGCACGACCGCGGAAGTCCATGTTATGCGGAAGGTAAAAGGTGACATTCCTGTACGCACGAGCGAGTTCCATTTGGAAATTTTGGAAACACCGCATCGAGTGCAATCCAGATCTCCTGTTTTCAACTTCGCGTACCAGAGTATCCCATTCCTTTTCAGCGTGATACCCCGCTTCGGGAGCTGGCTTGGGTGGAAGTGGTAGGTCGGGTTCTAGAGGTGCAAGGTTTGCGACCGCCTCTCCAGAATTCCATGCTTCGAGCATAACATTGAGGACGTCGCGGTTGATGGTCCACCCTGTGCTGCCAAGATTATCCAAACCCCGGCGAATGTCCTCAAGGCCGTTGTTTTCCAAGGCAGTCTTGATGTACGTCGGCTGGAGACTTTCACCGGGTGTCGTCCGCACAATATCAGATTGATACAGCAAGAAACCCCCGTCCTTCATGCCCTTCCAGGGTCGGGGTTTGCAGACCATGGGTAAATGCCGACCGAGAAGGTCGGCAGTCGGCTCTTTGGCGATAATCTGGACGATTGCTGGATGAAGGTGGAGGTAGCCCGTACGCCTTCCCCAGGTGATCTGATAAGCATGCTGGAAGGCGGGTTGCATCGTGACCGTTTTCTTCTTTGTTTCGGGATCTTCTATGGTCACCGGTGCCTTACCGACCTCGAATAGCAGGCTCATCAATACCGCGCCGACCTTTGCAGTCACCCGTGGCGACCACATGATCGTCGCATCCTCTTGCTGCATCTTCTGAACGAGCGCATGCCATTTGGCACGACCGTCCTTCTTCTTGCGCCCCGCAAGGAGTTCCTTCAGTGCCTTGAGACGCCGAGAGTCTGCGCCTGTTTCGTTTTTGAGGGCAGCCTCCGCTATCAATTCATCCTGGAGATCTTTACCAATCGTCGAAACAACTGCAGAAACCTTCAAACCCTTTTCCATCCCACCGCGGCTGAAAGTAGACATGACAGCCAGAATGGTGAGCGCTGCCAAAGTGTCTGTATCCAGACATCGCAAGTACACACCATATTCGCAGCGCTCTTTCTGCTCAAGAGTGCGAATGGGATTCGCCTCCGCCTCAGCAACAAGCTCAAGTTCCTCCTTGATCCTAGCAACGAGGCTAGAGTGCCACTCCGTCATAATGGTCCCTAACTTCTTCCCACCAGCGGTGGCATCAAGGCCCAATTTCTGTCTGTTATCAAACTCCTGACGCCAACGATCCATAGCAGACCGTATCGAGTCAGCTTCCAGTTGACGCTGTTTGAGTTCATCAAAGGCTTGCTTCTGTTCGGGGTCGGCGGGCACCGAGGAACTAGATTCGCTAAGAAAGAGGGAGAGAGATTGTTTGAGGGAGGAAAGCCCGAGACCCTTTTGCTCAACGGGCCTAACTTCCGCCAAGTTATCAATCTGCGAGCTGACGGCGACAGCGGGTGTGGGTTCAGATCCAATACTGCCGATGGCAACGCGTTGAAGGTCAGATGAGCAGATCTAAAGTAAGCCGAAGAATAAGTAACTGAACTTGCTGCAATTTTTTTTGTGCTGAGTAGCGACTGTGGATAGTAGGAAGTTGAATGAAGGGAAGCAATGTAATTAGATGTAAAGTACGAACCTCTGAGAGTTCTCCGAGCTCCAATTCCGAGAGAACAGGGACTGCCAGCACTTCCTCCTCGATATTATCCTTCTTGGCGAATTGCCAATATCTTCGCACTGCTCTGTCTCGCTTCGAGCCATGAAGCATGCGAAGTGCCATCCGTATCATAATTGCATATGTTGTTGCATCCGGTTTCACGCCCCCGTTTGGCATATCAAGCTCAAACCACCTCTGCATCGGCAGTACCATATTATGCTGCCTTGTAACAATCATGTGTGATACCATCTTTTCCAAATAGCGATTGTGAATAGCCAGGTACTCCGATGAACCGACAGGGTAATGTTGTCCCAATCGATTAATGAGCGTAGCAGCCCGATCAAAGCGTCCAACCTTGAGAGAGACATCCAAATTGGCCAGCATTTCATCCTCATCGCCGCCAATCCCTCTAACCTTCCGTAATACTTTGGGTTTCGTTTGTAATGACTCGCCCACGATGATCAGGGACGAAGGATCGAGTTCTTTAGCAGGCAGCGAAGGGAATAGTTGAGACCACTGCTGTGATGGGTCATAGAAATTCTCTGGCGCATAAAGCGAGTCATCGAATGATGCATAGGATCCTTGATCGACGGCAGACTGATCGGCGGCAGTGGCAAGAGTCCGATTGGATTGAAACGAAAGTCGACGAGATTGTTCCTGTGGAGTGGTCACAGATGCACTTGCCAGCAATGCTGGTTTGCTGGCGTTGACATAAAATCGTAGCCCTGCCCCCGAGGGCAGTAGACGGCGTCCGTTCGACTGCCGGAATAGGCTGATGGCATTTTTTTGGCGAGCGACTCGGGACAACATGATGCACGAACACCGCTAAACGAACAGACAGACAATGAACGAATTATAAGACAGTAAATCAGAAAGACAGAAGGGAAAGGGAATAGAGTATATGATTAATGGCAAGTAAAGCGCGGATTCATTGGAGACGGAGAGGAAGGCCTGAGAAACGAAAAAATCAGACCAGATAGGAGAAAAGCGACTCTGCCAGGCGGAATGGGACAGTCCGAACTGACAAGCCGTCCTGCAGCTCTTCACGGATAAAATGGAAGAACGACAGGAAGAGGAATTGAATTATGGGTTGAGGGAAGGAGGATGAAAATCTGCGAGAGGCAGAACAAACTGTCGGCCTCCAGGAACACGGGAGCCCGGAGAGAAGAAAAATACCGACTATTCCTAATCAGTTGGAGCGATGGGCGATAAGGCACGTGAGCTGCTACAGTGGCAGTTTTTTAGAGCTTCCTGATTGGGCAGACTAAGGTGGCAAGAGATATCATGGAGCCTTTTCAAGTGAGCATCTTCAATTAAAATTGTACAGAGGTAGCCACAATGTCTATTGTATCGATGGGGGGTTTTTTGATCTCTTTCGAATCATGTCGGCTCGTTTGCCGTTGCGAGGGGAGCAATTGGATATTTCCTGTTCTTTCATGTAGTTATCCTCAGCGAAAGTGCATGAGCAAGAAAGTGATTGAGGAGTGTCTATACGACTGGCGATTAGTAGCGCAGGTAGGTACTACGTGTCTAGCCTTAGTGAGCTCGAAATACCACTGGTTGAATAGTCGAGTTATCCTAATCAGAAGTTCAGGACGTAGAATAGCGGTAGTCACTCTATGATCCATAATGGCCAGGTTCTACAAATGGAGTATTTATACATCGTGGCAATCGTACATTGATTCATCCCTTCAAGTGCAATATCGAAGCTCACCCTTGCGCATTGACTCCGACGGAGCCAGCTTGTTCCTTTTGCCTCTTCCGATTCTGCTTCATCGCCCAACCCGTCATCTCTGGTCGAGCTGGGTCGATACGAGGCGCGCTCATCCGGTCCAGATAGTCTTCGCTATCAATGGCCGCCTCAAGCTGCGGAACATTCTCCAGATCCTGCTGGATCATGTAGCTCTCGTACGTCTGCCATGCTTCCTCGGTCTGGTTGAAGATAAGTTAGCACAACCGGCGTCTCACGATACGCAGCAGTCGAAGGACAAACCTCTGCATCCACCCATTCATACGTAGTCCACTTCTCATCTTGCATCTTCTTAAGCAGTTCCAGGTTGCCCGCAACCATGACCGCTTCCGCATCCTCGGCAGCTTTGATCTTCACATCAATCGCGCGAGCCTCAGTCTGCTCCTCCTCGCCCTCTTTCCGGGCCTTGCCCCTTCCCTTCGCAGGTATCTCATCCAAAGCATCGATATGATGAAGCTGAGGGTGCAACTGCACGACAGCAGAAACAGGAGACAGGTGCAAATTCTCTGCAAATTGCACGTCAGCAATTCCTCTTCATTGCGATCAAGCAGAGGGGGATACCCACGTCCACGGAACGCCGCAAGCATGTACACCGGGTCCCCATCCTCAGGACCCTTAATCCGCCCTCCAAGCGTCTGCACCCGCATAATATCAGACCCCTCCTTACTATCCATCTCGCCCATTTCCACATCCACGTTCCCCTCCATCTTCACCTTCCCACCGCCCGCAGCAGCCCCCGAGCTGAACCCGCCAGCCAAACCGTAGGAGCCTCCATCCCGGGCGCTGCGGGACCTCCTCATGGCATCGCCATATCGCAGTCCCTTGCTGACATCGTAGTTCACTCGTGTCTGGATCGGCACATCAACCTCCACGAGACCTGTGTTCGGCTTCAATCGGAAAGCAGTCGGCTTCTGTTCGTGGCTCTCGTCGTAGGGGTGTTCGGCGGATCGGTCTAAGTACTGGAGAACGAACCTGGAAATCTCGGAGTCTGTAAGGTACACATCGTAGGATGCGATGACGGGATCCGAGTCGTCCATGAGGGGTTAAATTTGGCGGGTCGGAATTTTCAAAAAGGATCCACGACTGGGTGTCCTGATCACTGCAGGAATAATGAGTGATATGCACAGGACCTTGAACAGCTATAGAAGAATAGAATGATAGAGCGGCTTCTCCTCGATGGCTGAAATTCCTGATCTGCAGCTTTCTACATTTGGAGAAGCTCGCAGAGTGACTGCGGGATAAGCGGCAGAAATTAATTTTTGGTTGTACACCGCCTACTGTAAGAAGCGTAGGCTTTGTGATTGATAAGGGCACCTATTTACTCCGTACATAAGAGAGACAAAAGAGACAAGCTTCGATGGCCAGTCCCGAAAGGGAACCGTGACTCATTAGTTGTTTACGCCAAAGGACGCAATTACAGATGTAGTTGATCTAAAATGCAATGCAAAAGACAATGACAGGTTTATCTGCAGGTATGACGAGCATATCTCGGAGCGGGACATTTATCATCAAGGTAAAATCACAAGGGTACGCGTCCTGTTATCCAACAAGGAGATTAAGCGTAACTTTTCATCATCCTTCACTCTTCATCCTCTTCAGCAACCTTTAAATCAGGTTAGTAACTGCTCAGAAGCCTTAAGAATAGTGAGTGATAGGTCAACATACCCCTTCGTGGAAATTGGTGCCATCCGTGGTCTTGTTAATGATGCCAGCCCGGATACACCAGTCTCCGAAGCGCTCCGGAGTCTCACCATCAGTGTTGCGCTCAAGTGCGTACCGCTTGAGCAGACCCTTCATGATCTCAAGGATCTCATCCTCCTTGATAGACTGGCGGTACAGCTTGTTAAGACGCTGTCCGTGGTAACCACCGCCAAGGTACATGTTGTAAGCACCGTAGGCCTTACCGACAAAGGCGACCTCGGCGAGCCAGGGCCTGGCGCAACCGTTCGGACAACCGGTCATACGCATGACAATGCTGTCGCGGGCCAAGCCAACCTCTTCAAGGGTCGACTCCAGCTTAGAGATCAGCACAGGAAGGTAGCGCTCAGACTCGGCCATAGCCAGACCACATGTGGGGAACGCGACACAAGCAGAGGAAGACAAACGCAGACCGCTGAAGGAAGTGTTGTCGAGTTTGTGATTGGCCATTATCTCCTTGACAGCAGGCAAGTCCTCGTCTTTGATGTTGGAGAGGATCAGATGCTGGTTACCAGTCAGGCGGAACTCGCCCTTGTCGAGCTTGGCCAATTCACGTAAGCCCGAACGCATGGTGAACTCAGCTGTGTCCTCGATACGACCGTTCTCGATGAAAAAGGTGAAGTGGTTCAAGCCCGTCTCATCCTTCTGCCAGCCAAAGGTGTCGACGTTGGAAGTAAACTTGAACGGGCGGGGCTCTGCAAATCGCAATCCATCGGGAAGGAGAGCCTCCACCTTGCCCTTAAAGGTCTCAACTCCCATGTCGTCAATGGTGTACTTGAGACGAGCGTGTTTACGGTTCTTGCGGTCACCAAAGTCCCGCTGGACGAGCATGATCTTCTCACAGACAACGTGAGCCTGATCAGCTGGCACGTAACCAAACATACGACCGGTCTGAGGGTAAGTCTTCTTGTTGTTGTGAGTTGCACCCATACCACCACCGGCGAGAATATTGAAGCCCTCAAGGTGTCCGTCAGCACCCTTGATGGCGATCAGACCAATATCGTGCGCATAGACATCAGTATCGTTGTGAGGAGGGATGGCGATGGTGATCTTGAACTTTCGAGGAAGGTATGTGGGACCGTACAGGGGCTCGTGGTCCTGAACGGCATCTCCTGCCACTTGGACCTTGTTGTCGTCATCATCCTTCAGCCAAATCTCATGATAGGCGGTAGTGGAAGGAAGCAGGTGGTCGCTAATCTTCTTAGCAATTGCGTGGGTTTCGCGGTGAAAGTAGGAAAGCTCGGGTAGAGAACTGCACATGACGTTACGGTTGACATCACCGCAAGCAGCAATGGTTGTCATGAGCGCCTTGTTGATAGCACGCATGGCGGAACGAAGGTTGCGCTTGATGACACCGTGGAACTGGAAGGTTTGTCTTGTGGTGAGCTTCATGGTCTCGTTTCCGTATGCGCTGCTGATGTCGTCCATCTGAATCCATTGCAAAGGAGTAGCAACACCACCAGGAAGCCGGCAACGGATCATGAAACTGTAGGCTGGCTCAAGACCCTGAGCCTTCCGCTCATCGCGGACATCACGATCATCCTGCATGTAGGTGCCGTGGAACTTGGTCAACTGTTGGTCACTAGCGGAAATGGCACCGGTGGTCTCATCCAACAAGCCCTCAGCAATGGTACCGCGCAGGTAGTTGGACTGGATCTTGATGTCCTCGTTGGTCAGGGGCGCGGGCTCCTCTGGAAGACCTTCTACCTTGTCGACACCTAGAGCTTGCCAAAGACGAGGCTCCCACTCAGAGTAGCCGGTTTGGTAAGCATCTGGGTCCTGGTCGTCACCGAGACCAATATCCGTGAGCTTGCGGCCTCCAAGGAAAGCGATACGAGCGTCGAGATCCTTGGCAGGCTTGTTGTAGTAGATCTTATCCTCCTTGCGAGGCCAGTAGTGGCTGTCACCAAGACCAAAGACAGAGTAGTTGATAGTGGAGAGATCCAAATCACCAGAGTTCTTTATGACTTCCCAGAGACTGCGACCGTTCTGAGGGAATTCACCCTGGCCAGCAGTACTGGTAATGAAGACCACGTTCTCCTCTGTCGCAAGATCCTCAGCCGGGTAGTCATCCATGGCCATGACCATGGTCTTCAATCCTCTAGCGCGACCCCGGTTTCCGAGGCGCTTGGCGAGGGTTTGAGCGTTACCGCCATCAGAAGCAAAGAGGATTGTCAAAGGTGCTCCGAAAAGACCCTCAAGCAGCTGCTCATACGAATCCTTGGCCTTACGCTTCTGCAGGGCGCGGACTTCAGTGCCGTATGATTCGGAGAGAACAGCAGAGAACTTGGGCTTCCGGTTCATGAGCTGAGTGAGCTGGTTGTCTCTGCGAAGGAACTCCTCGAGCTCCCGTCTGAGACGATCGGAGTCAAGAGCGAACTTGGGTTCGCCTTTCGCTTCATTCTCGGGGTTCCAGCGGTACAAAGGCCAGTATCCAAGGTCGATGGCCTTTTTCGTTTCTTGAAGAACAGTGAGAGCGGAGTCATTTTCCTGGTTGTAGGGCAGATAGGCGACAACGACGGAAGGACCCTTGAATTGCTCGGCCTCGGCCATTGCCTGGAGAACCTGGGTGTAGGAGCCATAAACGGCAACAGAGGCGACGTAAGCATTGCCAAAGTTCATGGCGTACAATCCGATATCCTTCTTCCTGCGAGTCGGGTCGGCAGCAGCACGCTCCGAGTAAGGCTGGGAGTCAATAATAAGCATGTTGACATTCTCTCCGGAGGCGAGAACATGGTGTACACCAGAGTTGCCGAGATCATAAGCCCACGCGTCGGAACCGATAAGCCATTGGGACTCTTCAAAGAAGAGCTTCCTCGACTCAAGGAGCTTCTTAGCTAGCTGAGACTCGTCCTTGGAGAGAGTCTCGATTACTTCCGAAGCCAGCTTGTTCGCCTTTGAAGCGTCCTTGACATTCAGCGCCCAATTGGACAACGATGATTTGGAGGAATCTGAGGTGAAGTCAGTAGACTTTGAAGCTTCTTCGACGTCCCGGACGAAGCGCTGACGGCGCTCCTTCCTGGCGATCAGCGAACCGAATCCATATTCGGGGCTCGCCGCGATAGTGGAAGAAACGCCGGCATTCTGAGAGTCCAACTGATTGGCAATGTAAAGACGCTCAGCAAATAGTTGGTTCAGGATCTTCAGGTAGGCGTTCTCAACGTGAGGCTGTTCCAGGGAAGGCTCAGTGGCGGGGGCCTTGGCGCTGCCGATCTCGAGGTTCTGAATAGGGGAGGAAGAGTTCAAGTTTTGAACGATACCGCGCAGTGCCTGAACTGCAGTAGACGGCTCGACATATCCAAGTCTGTACCCAACAATTTGAGGGGTTGGTCTGCCAGCAGACGGGGTCAAGCTGGACAAGAGATCCATGAATGACGGACCCCACTTGGTAGTCTTGCGAACCTGCTCGAGAACGGCAATCTTCTCTACAGAGCTGGGAATGGAATTCACAATCTGGCCTCCGATCCAGGGACGGTATAGACGAGCAGTGACGAGTCCGATCTTCTCAAGCTCACTGTTGGCTTCCGCCTTGGCAAGAACATCAACGAATACTCCGGTGGAGCCAAAGATGAAAATGGCCGACTTGGCATCCGAAGGACCAGTGTATTCAATCGCGCGGTAGGTGCGTCCGGTGCTCTGGGACAGAATCCTCCAGATCTGGCCGGTCCACTCGAAGATGTCGGCAGCGCTGACTGGACGGACCGAAGCGGCAGCATCAACGGTTGTGGCGGCAGAGCTGGTGGCATGGCTGTCCGTGCTGCTATCTCTCCGTGACGATCCGACGGATGAGTTATCAACACTGACGCTTGAAGGAGTCTGGGCTGGCGGCGCGAGAGTGGGAGCAATGCCACCTTGGGCAGCGGAGCTCTCCGCAACTTCCTCAGACACGGTGGCTACGCGACCGGAGTCGGCATATAGTGTCTGTGCTCCAGACTGAGACGCAGTGCTTCTGCCCAGGTTGAGCAGAGATCTAATAACGTCCACATTTTCTGCTTCAATGGCATCCTCGTTTGCGGAGTTGGCGGGATCAAAGAAATGAATGACACCCTTTCCGGATCTGTGGGCTAGAGCATGAGCGGTGATGGCAATATCCTGTGCCTCCTGGATTGTCTCGGAATGCAAGAAGGTAAAGCCACACTGGCGTATCGAGCTGATGACGGAGTAATCTGGGAATGGGGAGGGCTCCAGGGCGACGTGAATGACGATTGGGGAGTTCGCTAAGCGGTAGAGGCGAGGAACGGATGAGAGCAGGACAGAGGAGCCGGTGACGACGGAAACTGCGTCGCCTGCCTGCAGTGGATGGAAGGCAGAGAGTAGAGGGTCTTCGTTAGAGCGTACAGCTACCACCTGTCCACAGTGTCAATCCAAATTCTGCGAAATCTCCGTGACGGGGCATGTCGCAAGTTCACTCACCTCAGGTGCAGATCTAGGGAGGATGCTACGAGCATTGCTCGCCTTCAGAGCCTTGAGGGGCTTTGAAAACAGAGAATCTGTCTGCAGAGAGGGCTGAACGGAGAGGATGGTGTCGCTGACAAGGTAGGCAACTCGTGCAGCTGTTTAAAAAATTAGCGATTGATCGCAGGGAGAATGTTCCATTGGAACATGACAATAGCATGCACTGGGAAAGAAGACTAACCTGCTTCCGCAGCAGATGAAATGGATGCCATATCTGGTAGATGTGCACTGCGCTCTTCACTGCGCAGAAAGTGGGATGAACTATAAGTGCAGAAATGTAGATATCACCGCATACGGCGACTCCCACTCAATGCAACCTTGACAGAAGAACAAACAGAGTATGCAGAGGAAGAGAAAGGCACTCAAATGAGATTTAAGTAAAAGCCCTCCTAACTTCTTCACAATTATCTCCCAAAAAAAGCAGACAACGGGAAAAAAGGCACTGAGTACACTATCCTCTCCGCCATCGGGGGTTGGATCATCAGCCTTCTGATTGGACTACGATCACGACATCGATGCAAACACTTATCCAGTGTAGGAACAAACTTGCCGTTTTGGTTGAAGTGCAGGGGTCCCGTGACTGTTAGCTCGAGCACGTCAGTTTTCTTCCTCACCTTTTGAGGTCTTGGCGTCGGTGTTTGAATCGGTCACCGAGCTGATGATCTGACGAGAAGGACAGTCAACAGTATCGGGATTCTGTTATTTTTGAAGCAGAGCTGCTCTCCGTCGTTGTCATATATCTACCTTAGACTAGAGTAAAATGAATGTCTAATAGTGGAATTCTCTTGAGTAACAGACTGAAACGCTGAGATTCTCATGGATGGTTAACTGCCGGACCTTGCTTATCCAGCACTCTTGCACTCTTCGCCGCTACCAAAGTGCCTCAGGCCAATCTCTCGGGCGAGAGCTTGGTGTCGTTTCAATAAATCAGTATTCAACTACTAAGGTAGTGAGTGACTGGATGACCAAACTCTCATTAACGCCATCATTTTAAACAGATCGGCTGCTTGTCAGCTGCTGCGAGGTTATATGCAATAAGTTTGAAGACGAAAACTATCTCAATTGATGATGTTGAATTTCTCAAGACGCCATATTAAATGCTAAACCCATATCGTTATGAAATATACAGGGCCTATACTCCCGAGCCATCCACAGCCGAGAGAACAGGCGTCCACCAGAGTAGATCCATGATACCCTCTACTATCTGATTCCACGTGTCAGCACCAATTACATCCGCATGCCATATCCGAGAAAACCTGACCCGAACGCCTCTTCCATTGAAGACATTCATCAAAAGCGAAGGGCGAAAGACATGAATCATGAAGCAGTCACCCAGAGCCCAAGTCCCCACCCAACCATGTTATGTAGATCATTTCGGCATATGAAATAAGTAACAGGAACAAATAAGATCACAACGACTTTGAGCCGATGGTAAAAGGGGGATTATCAACAGTGGCGAGCCTTGTCGATTTGATTCTATACAACGACAAGATCGCAACGATGGCCGGCCACGATCCCTAGCAATTAAGTAGGAGCCGGGGTGGCAGGACCAGATGACATCACGTGTCGTTATGTGAACAAAGTATGCCGGCTGCTAGGCAGCGATATATGCTGGTAACCGAAGCAAATCACCGGCCGTCAGTCCAGTCATGCATCTTTAGATTCTCCGGGATCGGTTGCTGCAGTGCAGCGGCCTGAACTGTGGCTTGCGAGGGCTGTGGAGGCCCGGTGCCCGACCGGCGCCTTCTTTCTCGTTCCAAAGGACCAGGAAGCTCCTGGCCACGAGCACGAAACTTGCGACCCATGCTGTCCAACCAGGCACCGTCCTCGTCTTCGCCCAGCCAGTAACTGCGACCAAGGCCAATCATAAGGCGGCCAAGCTTGCCCTGCCAGCCTTGACCATCAGGACTATAAGGCGAGAACGGCTCCCGGTCGATATCAGCAACACTAGCAACGCTAGCAACGGAGGTATTGCGGCTGTGCGTGGGAAGCTGTGTGTGGCGGGGGATCGCGACGTAGAGACGTAATTTCTGGCGGGCGAAGGCGAGCATAACGAACACGAAGTAAATGCGGATAATCCACAGCAAGCAGATGAACACAATGCTTTGGAAACTCTCGGGCTGGGTGACGGCGTTGGTGAGGCCGTCCGGGCTTCGTGCGGAGTTTCCATTGGTGGACGAGGAGCCGTATTTGGGGTTGGTGAAGCCGGCGGTCTGGGAGATTGTGTCGCTGCCCGGCCCCTTTGCGGTCCCGTTATCGTAGTGCTGTGAGATAACGAGAAACCATGTCACCCCGAACGCAGCTGTGTATGCGGCATTGATGACTGTGTCGAAGAGGTAGAGCCAAGCGAGGGCGAGGCACTGCAGGGGCGACTGCTTCCGAATATGCGGGAAGAGATATGCTGTAAGACCGAGCGCAATAAGCGAATAGAGGTACATAGAGAGCTGGACTGGCGACAGATGGTAGCCGGTCAATAAGGCGAGCAGGCCATAGAGACCGCTGATCTTGTTCAGCAGCAGGGAAAGTGTGATTAAAGAAGCGCCTGTCTCCAGGCTCATCACATAAAGAAACGTCTATTGGAGTCATCGTTAATTAGTATTCACACACTTGACAGACCTGTCGAAAGACGAATGGAAGAGTTTTGCAGTCTCTTCATTTTGAGGTCATGCGATAAAAATTGACGTACCTCTGGCCGCGGTACGCGGAGGAAACGGGCTGAAAACCCCATGATGGATGCCGCCGATGAGGTCGGTGAGGGAAACCGATCGTGGCTCAAGGACGGCAGAAAAAGGAAAAGGAATGGAATGACAGAAGAAGATGATGGTAGAACGACAAGTCGGGATCGGTTGAAGAGAATGAAAGATGGCAAACGAGGCTGGTGCTGGGTTGTTGGAATGCCCAACCTAAGCAGCTGTTGCACAGGGGCGGGCTTGGTTTTCCGGGCGATCCGCCCGCTGATCGCTACCTTTTCGTATTCGTTTACCAGAGTCTAAGACTACTCAGAAAAGCATAATGCGAATAATAGCGAGCCCTGAGAATGGCAATGATGACAATTGGCATCATTATTTTATTCTCATTATCCTAAGTCTTTTCCGACATTACGATGGGTAGATAGAATTGAATCTTCCATTTTCTTGCAACTAGTCTGTTACATTATTTCAACGTCAACTCCGGATGCATCTATGGTCATTTTCAGCGGTACTTTGTAGTCCAGTAAGAAACATCAGGCAACCTCTATGGCTTGGCATCTGCCACAAAATAGTAAACACCAAGTCACATTTAGAGCTATTTTGTGGTATTGAATAGGACGGCTGCAGTGCACTGAGAGCGAATGTTTCTGCCTGCCGGACTAAATAGCCAGAGACTGGATTCAATTGTACTTGACTGTATGAGGCTTGGAAATATCAGCCTCCTTTTGTCAATGGACGAGGTCAATGCACGACATCGATACACAGAAAAACAGTGGATAATCTCCCAATAATATCGACGCAACAGAAATTCTTGACGATGAGTCCATGGGGCAATGAGACGCTCATATGACGCGCAAGTAGAACACCCATCTCTGCCTTGTAGCACCTCGGCGACGACCACTTTGAGACCAACGCACTGAAGAGACGCAAAATTGAAAAGACTTCAATCTAAAAACGCTGTTCAACCTGAAACATGGAATGGAGAAGGCAATGTACATGTTAAGAATGGTAAAACATTATGGACAATCTCAATTATCGTCATTGAGATCAAATCATCAAAGGAGCGAGTAGCAATTATAGACAGGTAATCAAAAGGTTGATATAGAACTAGCACGCGCATCCATCGTTGCTTGTCGTCTCTCTGGGGTTGATATTGACGTCGATCACTGTACGAAGAGCAGTCAGTCTCAGAGGCAGCAAGCCAACAGTTGCGGAAAATAAACCCACTTTGCGACTCTCTGTTTGCTTCACCCTCCATTCCGGGAAGGGCTTGGGCTATCCTCCTGAAAAGTTGCTTCACATTGTGGCCGACCTTGGCGCTGGTCTCAATGAACATCAGACCATTCTTCTTTGCCTCCTCCTCGCCTTGAGCTGTGGTAACTTCCCGCTTATCATTCAAATCGGTCTTGTTGCCTACTAGCACGATGATCACATCGTTGCCCCGCTCACCACGAACATCATCAATCCACTTCCGGGTATTTTGGAACGACTTGGCGTTTGAGATATCATAGACGACAACTGCGACGCTCGAGTCTCGAATGTAGGAAGGAATCAGGGATCGGAATCGCTCTTGACCGGCCGTATCCCAGAGCTGGAGTCGGACTGTTCTATCCTCCAGATACATCGTCTAATGCGCGAGGACAGGTTAGCTAACCCGCATATTCGGTGATGGGCAACCGTAAAAGTATTCGTGACGCCGACGCAACATGTCAGTGAACGAGGTGAAATCTACCTTGGACAGAAAGTCGATTCCGATTGTCGCCTGGTATGTGTTGTCGAACGAATCATACATAAATCTGGTAATCAGAGACGTCTTCCCCACTGCAAAATTAATGTCAGATGCCACCCTTATCGTGTCTTAACCCCGTGTGATCGCCCCGGAGGATTGTGCGTACCGCTCTGCTCTCCTAAAAATACCAGCCTATCGATCTGTTAGCGATTGGGATCAGAAGACAATACGCGTCCGCGCTGAAAAACACACTTGAATTTCTTCAAAGGGTTCGAATACGACCCAACCCCGGAGGAAGCCATGGTGAGTTGTGTGAGTGAGGAGCGGTGACAAGAGAATAAGGGGTAGCAGAGGCAGCCGCGGTATCAGTCTTATACTTCAGCGGAGATGGAAGAGATCGAGAAGGACGCTAGGCTAGGGATATGAGAGTATAAAATCGAAAAGCTTTTCCGTTTTAACACCGATGTGGTCGCGACTAGATCAGCCGTGCGAGTCTTTCAGATGGTCGCCTGGAGAGGAGCTCGATCCATGGGTCAGTCTGGGGTACGTGAATAGCTGGTCCAAAGTATCTGGCTAAGAGCCTACCTAAGACAGTCCGGCTTTAGTCTCTGCTTTGACGGGCTGGAGTACGGTGAACCACGAGCTCCGCCGACCGGCGGATTAAACTCGGGCCGAACCAGCATCACAGCCGACTAAACGTGCCTGTTGGTGTTCCAGCAAGACGAACAGCGCCAAACAGAGCTCCAACGTTATCGCTTACCAATTATCTGCAGCTCTATTTGAGACCCCTGCAGCTTGATATTCTTATTTCGAGATTAGGGGCTGTGCGAAAGGGTTGAAGATCACCATGGTCCTCTATTATGGAGCTGGGGCTGCAACCGTGTCACTCCTCGTGATAGGAGGGTGTAAGTACACCATGAGTCTCGCGCAATGTCTGGATGTACTAACACGCTTATCCAGACATGCTGTTTCATGGCGACGGTGAACAATTCAATGTATAAATTGATACCTTCATTTCCCTCCGCATGACCTGATCTCGTTGACATCTCTTAGGTTGGCCACTTCCTCGAGTCCGTTTCACCATACGCCTGGGCAAATATTGGTATTGCTTTGTGCATAGGGCTGTCTGTTGTTGGAGCAGCATGGTATGAGCCGCTCTGCAACTTTGGTTTCGATAGAATCGATCCTGTCAGTTACTGACCTACGTCATCAGGGGTATCTTCTTAACAGGCTCATCCATTGTCGGCGGAGGTGTAAAAGCACCACGGATTCGGACAAAGAATCTGATCTCTATCATTTTCTGTGAAGTCGTCGCTATCTACGGAGTTATTATGGCTATCGTGTTTTCTTCGAAACTCAATCTTGTCGAGGGCGACGAGATCTTTTCCGGCAGCAATTATTACACGGGTTATGCGCTCTTCTGGGGAGGTATCACAGTGGGGGCATGCAATCTGATCTGTGGTATCTCTGTTGGCATCAACGGAAGTGGTGCAGCTCTGGCCGATGCCGCTGACCCGAGCTTGTTCGTTCCCATTCCCCTCGCATCTTACCTTCGTACGCCTGGCTAATCATATAATGTCTTTATGAACAGATTCGTCAAGATCCTCGTCATCGAGATTTTCAGCTCTGTCCTCGGTCTCTTCGGTCTTATTATCGGCCTTCTGGTTGGTGGAAAAGCGACAGACTTCGGCGCTTAATTTGGGCTTCCAACAACAGTCTTCTGCGACAGAAGACTTTTCGTGAAGCGAATCTGGATTCATTCGGACTGGATCCACTCGTACCAATTTCCCCTTTCTTCTTAAATTTCTTGTTTCGTCCTTTATCTGTCTGTTATATAAAGCATTAAGGCGTCTGGATTTGGGTTGACTGTAGAGCTTCTCCGGTATGCAGAGAGCTGCATTGATGATTTAGCTGTTCGCTGTGGTGATGATGTCCGCTATGATGTACAGTAAGAGTTGTCCAGGATTAATGGCCAATTCAGATATCCGAGGCAGTATTCATTCCTTTCTGGCACTTTGTAAATAGGGCGCAATTAATGGAGGATTACTTATCATTCATTTGTTTGTACTTCCGCGGAGTGTGGTTCTATTATCACAGTAGTTGACCGTGAAAGCGCTCCCCGCTATCTGAAGCTTTGTGATATATCTCCGATTCCGCTTATCGAGCTACTTAAGAGCGTAACGTATCCCCGCACCTCCAAGAAGCAACGAATTAGTCACGCTTGCAGTGTTCACACCAAAGATGGCCGACGGCAAACTCAGGGCTGCAATCCTGGTTGTCTCGGATACTGCTTCTCAGGACCCATCCACTGACAAGGTCGGCGATACTCTGACCACTTCCTTCGCAGCCGAGGGGTCCAACAGCTGGGACCCTCCTGTCATCAAGATCGTGCCAGATAACGTGCTAGATATCCAACGGACAATCTGCAACTGGACAGACGGTCCAGATTGGTTTAATCTGGTTTTGATTAGCGGTGGTACGGGTTTTGCTGTCAAGGATAATACTCCCGAGGTCTGTTATGCTGCCCTTGAGGGACCCAAGCGAGAAGCTGATGATTTGTATAGGCTGTATCGCCTCTCATTCATCGCCATGCGCCTGGCCTTGTGTAAGTCGGCTGTCAAAGTGACTTATTAAGGACTAAGGATACTAACTGCATGGCTCAGACACGGCATGCTTGCCGCCTCTCTTAAGGTGACACCGTGTAAGGCTGGAAACATCATTTTACTCAGTGCAATAGCTGACCATTTCTTCAGTTGCAATGATGTCTCGGCCTGTTGCAGGTGTCAGAGACAAGTCGCTCTTGATTATCTTACCAGGTTCACCGAAAGGAGCCAAGGAGAATCTTGAGGCTATCATCAAGCTCCTACCGCATGCCTGTACTCAAGCGGCTGGAGCAAACTCCAGAGCTCTCCATGCAGGTGGGGTTAAGAAGCTAGAAGCCGAAGCTGGTATCGCTTCTCAAAGCCAAAGCTCAGGGAGCAAAGTACAATCGCATGATCATCACCACCATCATCACCATCACCACAATCATGGGCATTCTCATGGTCACGGACACGTAGTCCCAAGGGCGCATACGTCACCTTCAGAATGGCCTCAGTCTAACGACCCGAATGCAGGGCCGAACCGCCGTTATCGCTCGTCTCCTTACCCCATGCTCTCAGTCGACGACGCTCTCAAACTGATCAGCCAACACACGCCAGAGCCGGTCGTCATCGAGGTTCCCGTGACACCTTCTCTTGTTGGCTCTGTCGTCGCTGAAGATGTCTACGCCGGAGAGGCAGTACCAGCCTACCGCGCCAGTATTGTTGATGGATATGCCGTCATTGCACCGGACTCGCCAACGGCCGAGCGTAGTACCAAAGGGATCTTCCCGGTGGCCTCCATCGCCCACGCGAACCCAGGAGGGACGCTGTCGCCTCTTGAACCTGGGACAGTCGCGAGAATAACCACCGGCGCGCCCGTCCCACCCAACGCGAACGCAGTCGTGATGGTAGAAGACACCGTCCTCGTGTCCTCCACACCAGACGGTCAAGAAGAGGCCACCATCGAAATCCTCACAGGCGACATCAAACCTCTCGAGAACGTGCGTGAACCAGGCAGTGACGTGGCCCTAGGCTCCAAAATTCTCTCCAAGGGCGACCTCATCACTTCTGTCGGGGGCGAGATCGGCCTCCTCGCAGCAACAGGAACCAAGACCGTCAAGGTATACAAGAAGCCCTGCGTGGGCGTACTCAGCACCGGCGACGAGCTAGTCGAACACAACGACCCAACCAAGCTCATCGGCGGCCAGATCCGCGACTCCAACCGCCCCTCGCTCCTCTCCTGCCTGTCCTCATGGGGATTCCCCACAGTGGACCTGGGAATCGCGCGCGACACACCACCCACAGAACTGGAAAACGCCCTCCGCGACGCCCTCCGCGGCGTAGGGCGCGCAAGCACCAGCGTCGACGTGATCGTCACCACAGGCGGCGTCTCAATGGGCGAGCTGGACCTGCTCAAGCCGACCATCGAGCGCTCGCTTGGCGGCACCATCCACTTCGGCCGTGTCTCAATGAAACCGGGGAAGCCGACGACGTTCGCCACCATCCCGTTCAAGCCCTCGTCGTTGCCGACTGGCTCCGCGCAGCAGGAGCGCGAGTCGAAACTCATCTTCTCGCTGCCGGGGAACCCCGCTTCAGCGCTGGTGACGCTGAATCTGTTCGTGCTTCCCTCGCTGCACAAGTTGATGGGAATGGGGCAGAGGCAGACTGCGCCGGGAGTAACTCCTGCTCTGGGGCTGCCTCTTGTGTCCGTCACGCTGGCGCATCCGTTTCCGCTTGATCCTAAGCGCACAGAGTACCACCGTGCCATTGTCACTGCCTCGCGCTCTGATGGCCGGCTGTATGCCACGAGTACCGGCCTTGAGGGTGTTGGCCAGCGGAGCTCAAGAGTAGGGAGTCTTGCGAGCGCGAATGCGCTGTTGGTGCTTCAGCCCGGAAGTGGAAAGGTGGACAAGGGTACTCTAGTGGAGGCTTTGCTGCTTGGAAATGTGGTGCCGGAGGCGTAGACTGGGACGACGAGTATGCTATGAACGTGTATGGTAGTCTCGTGGCTAAGTTACAACGATACTCGGAATGAAAACAATTAAGATAACATTTCCTCAGCACCTCCAGAAGAGGATACTTCGCTGTAATTCGTCAATACGTAGGTATCTCCGGAGAGGAAACCCCCAACGCCAATGCCAGTCACGCAATTGTTATCTCTAATCTATCAACCTTTATGTATCTTCCATCCCTTCTTCTTCTCAGCCCTAAATGCAGGCAATGTCGATTCCCTCCCCTGCTCGCGGGCTACCTCTATGACGACAAAGCGAACAAAATCTGATAGGATCCAGTAACTGCTATGCGCACTCAGCATGTTCAGATATTGAATGTTCAGTGGTCCACCACCACCGGAAATAAAATAGTCTATTTGGCCGTTATCGTTAAGGAGTAACATGCGTTTTTCTGCAATCTCCTCGCGTGTGAAATCATGCGTCTCCATTTCCACATTGGAAGGGAGCTTGGTAAGGGTGGCAGGACGAATAGGCGCGGGAGCAGTGGACGTGCTCCAGCGAAAGACACTGCCGAAGGATTCCCAGAAGGAGGATGAAGTGCCCGGGATAGAAGCGACCTTTAGAGAATTGGCAAGGTCAACGTCCACTGCGGCATTGAGACGATATGCGATTGCTGATAGAGTCAACCATTATATTCGATTGCAATGGCAAATAAGGAGGGACTTACGGTCTGTAGTATGCATGATGTTGTAGAGATTGTCAACGGCCAAACAACCATAGGTGTCTGCCTCGCCCGCCACACCACGAAGTCGATCTTCGCCTTCGTAGCCGGGCTTATCTCTACCTCGCCGTGGCAAGAGGTTCGCTGTAGAGTTTGTTAGCAGGTGTTCGGTAGAACAACCTGTGTAATCTATAGATCCAACGTACCTTTATTCAAGAGTAAGAAAAAGCCGACAGGACTACCACAAAGGAAAAGATTCTTCGTGTCAAACTCGAAAATATCACTGCGGACGCTCGTCGTCGCGAAATCAATGTCTGGTAGCTTGGTCGGCTGATGACTGAGAATATCTATAGCCATAGCGCTTCCTAAAGAGTGTGCAATCAGGTGCACACGACCGTGTTTCTGGAACCCGGGATTGTTCTTGCACCACAGTCGAAATATTCTATTCGCTTCTTTGACAACTGCTTGAATCATCTTCGGCTTGTGATGTGACAAGTAGTAGGGAATGTCGAGCATGACATCACTGATCAATGACCTGACGGCCGGAATTGTCTCTGGCGTGATGTCGTTCAGCGAGTAGTGATTTGCAGTTGGATCAGAAATCTCAGACTCGAGGCTTCCATCCGCCAGGGATAGAGTCGATCGCCAATTGACGGGTAGGGCCATGATCCCGCCATGGTCCCGGCGCACATGATGCCAGACCGGCTCGTTGTTCAGCTCCATGTTGATATTCCTGCGGAAGGCATTGATTGCATGCGTAAAATGGAAGCTCTCCATACGCTCCGATAGCTTCTGACCTATGCCATGGATGACCAACACCAAGTCCGTCGGAGTAGGTCGCGATCCTTCCATTGCACAGGCATAGCAGACTTGTCTACCATCCGTCCTGGACATTGCTCGCGACTGGATTCGGAGGTAATTTCTTACATCTACAGGACTGGGTTTAGATGGATGTAGCTGTTCCCATGAGCGACGGCTGAAGCCACGAACCACGGGTATTCCAATGTGTCGACCTTTGCGAATCGAACTGAGAGGTCGCCTCCCTCTTGAAACTGAAGGAAGCAAGCTGGGTCTGAGAATTTGAGCATTCCTACCATCGACATATATGACACTGGAATTCAAAAAGGGCTTGGCGGCTTCAGTATGTGCAGTCGTCCCACCAGCAGCTCGATTTTCTTCAAACGTTGGCGATTCCGCACTTCTTACCTGAGCACTAGATCCAGGGCGTGAAGTGGGTGTGCTGTTGGATTTCGTATCGGGTTTCGGCCACAGTTTGTGAACGATTTTCATTTCCGCGTCGGCTCCGTTCTCAACACAGCTGTTGAGTTCATCCTGCCATGTGTCTGTCCAGGGTTTCAGATAAATGTATCCATCCTCGAGCTTGTTGGCGAGCTCTGTCTCTACTGGAAGCATTGTGTTCTTGTAAAACCAAGTAGCACGCA